ACTGACCGCTGAATTATTTACACAGTCTTCACGGCCTGCTGCTTACATGATAGGAGGATCTGTTAGTTGGTTGAGTTTCTTCACAATAGGAATGCTCTTCCCCTTTATAGTGGTACGTATCCATTATATATACACTATCTTCTCTCAGTTGCCTCATGTCCACTTGACTTCTTGCAGAGAAATTTTCCTAGACACAGAAATTGCTCTTCTTTATACAATAAAGAACATAGTGCTTAGACTTAAGATAAGTGAAAACTCTCCTTCAACAAAGGTATTTTTAGAGTCAGTCACTCTTAGTAGGCAAGTTTATTTTAGATATCTACAAATAATACAAAAACACACAACAGAAGACAAATAAATAGAAAGTCAGACTGCATAGGGAGGACTAATCTCCAGGTTAGGTTTATGATCAGAAAAAATTGCAGAAAAAGTATAATGAATTCTCACCAAGTTCAGAGATTCATAGCTCACATCTCCTATCAGCATCTCTTGCTATTGCTTAGCTTGTTAGATCAGAAAGAGGTAGCCTCTGTAACAAATGGTTTACTTGTTTAAGGCCACACCTCTATTTGTCCAAACTCAGTGGGGACAATCACTTACAATGGAAAACATCTTTGGTCAAGAGATATTATTTTAGTGAAGACAATACATGTTGTCAAATTCCATTTCTGGTCTAATCATTTCAGTTACTCCACTTGCTCTTGCAAAGAAATTCAATATATAGAGTGACTGCTGAAAAGGGCTACTGCCTACTGAACTGAGAAACTCCTTTGCGTATAACCCTAAAAAATATCAAATAATTGACGTGTTCTGGGAATAAGTATTTACATAGGGTGGACTCTATGAAGCTACGTAGGTGCCTAAGTCCTGTTTATAGGAGGGAGTGATGGTGGTATTCACATTTTAGCTTTTAGCCCACTGGTTAGAGTACTCACCTGGAGTTTAGGAGAGCCAGGTTCAGTTCCCCCTTTTGTAGCAGTGGGGGAGGGAAGGTCTTTCACATCATCTCTAAGGAGAGCATGCTAACCAGTGAGCTACCAGATAGTCTGATGGGGTGGGGCTGGGTCCTCAGACACTCCTGTTGAAGCTGTTCCACTGTGGATAAATGAGTCATTGGAGCAGGGGGACATGGCAGAGGGTCTCCTAGGTGGCTGCCTGAACCCACTGGACTAGAGTCATTCTCTCACACCCTCGCCCAGTCACTGTTTTATTATTTAAGCCACAGTGGAAAAGTTTCAACAGGAGAGACTCTTACCTCAAAATATCCTGTAGCTCAGTGGTTAGCGCACCCTCCTGAAATGTAGGAGACTCCTGTTCAAATTCTTCCCCCCTCCTCACCCGCCCATCCGGGGAAGCGCAAATTGCATCTCTAAGATCTCCCCCATCCCAGCTAAGTGCTCTAACCAGTGGGCTAAATGTTATATCGTAGGCACCACTTCCTACACATTTTGTGTGGAGCAAGGCAGGCACCTAATTCATTCCCTATGTAACTATGTAGACTCTTAAGCCAGGAGAGGGGTTCCTGTAGTGGACTGCTAGTAGAGCTTGGCATCTCCCTGCAGATTTGAAGTGTTCTAAAATAATAAACCACCAACTATACTATTGATCATTTCAGCTAATGATACAACAAAGAGATAGGGAACAGATGGAGCTTCAGCTCACCCTTTCACTGAAAACCTAGATTTGGCACTGTTAGTGACTGTCAACAGTATCTGAGTTAGTATTTTCTAAAATTAACTAGGTATTATTTACTATGATTTTTTTTATTAATCTCAAACATCCTGTATTTTGTTTTTAGAATGGACTGAAGCAGTATTGCTTTGTGGTGTTTTTAGTGGAAAGCTTGTTGGTTGCCTGTTTCATCTTCTTTGTCATTCCTGAGACAAAAAACAAAACTTTTCTGGAAATCAAGCGAGAATTTCAACACCTTAACTTCAGAGGAAGAATCAAAGAGAAGGAAGCAGAGCTATGTGAAAGAAGACAGCTCTGCAATGAATGTTAGAATGTACTTTACATCTCACAGGTGTAAGGCAGCCACATTAATGGGAATTATACACATATGCTCCTATATATTGAGAAAAATAGTGTTAAGGAATGTATTCAAAGATAGCTTGTTATATCAGCAGGTGAAACTTATTTAAAAAGGCAGACTAATCTTGCTGGAATATCAAAATACTGTATTTTATGTACACATACAGTACTGCCTACAAAAGAGACTCAATTCAATAAAAATGTTGAGATGCATTTGGCTAATGTACACATGCAGAAACAGTGCTGATTACCTGGTCTCATGGAGTAGACTTCATTGGGGATTGCTGCAAACATTCAATGTGAATCCATGGCCTGCCTCACACTCTAACCACATAAGGTGTCAATATGAAGAATTTGGGAGACAGCGATGGGGGTGGGAGCATCACTTCTTGAAATAAAATGTAGCTATAACTTTAATGTGATATTAGAATGCTGAACATTTAAGAAGGGCCACAGTGAACGCAAACCTACTGCTAATTGAAATATTCTAGTTCAGCGGTTCTTACACTTCATTACACCGTGACCCCCTTCTGAGAACAAAAATTACTACAAGACTCCAGGAGGGGGGACCGAAGACCAAACCTGCCTGAGCCATTCTGGGTGGGGTTGGGGGGCCAAACCTGAAGCCCAAGGGCTTCTGCCCTTGGGCGGGGGGCATGTAATTTTAGCCCTGGGCAGTGGGGCTTGGGCTTGAGACTTGTTAGGCCAACACCAGCCTTGACAGCTCCATTAAAATGGGGTTCTGACCCAATTTGGGGTCCTGACAGTTTGAGAACCCCTGTTCTAGTTACTACATAAAAACACTCCTCCTCCTGCCATCAAGACTAATTCCTCTGACAGGCCCCAGCCTACTTGAGGCTTCTCCTACACAGTCCTATTTCTATGACAGCACAACATGGACACAAGCAATGAATCCCATTGGAATGAAGGCAGTAGGTAAGAAGTTATATATATGCTTTTTTAGATTCATGATAAAATGAATTACAAGGACTGAATGGTATTGGGGATCAGGATATAACTGGCCTCCCTGAAATTACTGGTTGAAATCCAGCCTCGATTATAAAAAAACAAAAACAAAAACACAAACAAACCAAAAAAAAAAAAAAAAAAAAAAAACCTACCATAACAGTTATTTGGTGACCTATGTGAAAACAATTTGAGTCTCACTGAGTCTGGCTCCTGGTGGATGAAAATACCTGGTCACAAAAGGCAATAAATGGTATCTACAGCAGAGATGCCTAAATTCAACTTGGGATAGAAACTGAACATTTCTCTCATTCCCTAGAGATGGGTCATTCCAAGACAGGACTGAGGAACACTGACAGCACAGGAAGACCATGTATAGCAAGGGCAGCTAATTATTTTTTTCCAAGGTCCAAATTTCTTGGTCAAGGTCCAGACTCCAGAAAAGAAAATAATAATAATAATAGAAACAACAATAATTATAAGTAAATAAAAAGATTTTGGGGTCCATTCAAAAGCATCTGGTGATCCAGACTGGGCCCGCAGTCTGCCTATTGACTACCCTGATGTCTAGCTTGAATTGTCAATACTGTACCTGTAGTGTGGAAGAGTCCTTTGTTTAATCACCAGGGCTATCCAGCTAGCATTTTGAATCAAAAGTGAACTCACATTTTAAATTTCCCTTAAAACTAAAACACCAAAAGTCTTAATTTATTACAGCATTTATGTTCCTTTTTGATTGTTTTGTTTCCTCACCTTATAAGGATCTGTAACTTATGTGCTCTCTGGCTGTTTCCGACTGATGCTACCACTGGTGCAGTTCCACAAGTGATATAATAGCAGGAGCACTACTGTAGAGATGTCAGCATTTTAACCACTCTTGTCTAGATCTACCCAGAACATGCTTAGATGACATGATGGTTAAAACAGCACAGGCATCTGGGTTCTTCTCTACATAGACCTAAAGAGTAAAATCAATGGGAAGTTTTAGGGAAAAAGGCTAACAGACAAAGCCGCTGTGTTCTTATTGCTTGTCAGGAAGTTATTCTAATAATTTAATCATTTGTTTTTACAACAATATATAAAGAAATTAGTTTCTACTCTAGATATCTCCTGCCATGAACTCATCTCTTGTGTGAAATAAGGTCCTATCTGGTTTAGAGTCTCAAAAAAGGCTAAATACATCTCTCCCTGTTTGTTCAGTGCACTGCTAGAGCTGGCCAAGAATTTAGTTTAAGTATTACAAGGCAACACACACAGTATACACAAATCTCCAGTTTTGCTTACTCCTTCCAACTGCCTCACCAACACACACTGATGGGAAAGGAAATAAGGGCAGCTTTGGGCAGGAGAGTTTGATGAGGTTCTTTTTGCTAGATTCATGCAAAAGTAAGATCTTAAACACATCCTGATCAAAGTGGTAGTAAACAAGTTAAGAGTGACTATCACACTGGTTGAAGGAGGCAAATACGTTCCCACCCTGAATAATCTCTGCCCTTAGTAGAACTGAGAAAGTATTTACCATCTGTCTCCAGGTCCTGCAAGAAACTCTCCAGTGAGCAATCTTAGCTAAAACTTTTCCTATAAACAAGCACCATTTTCCTTACGGCTGTGAGCGTTTGGTAAGGAGATGGGAAAATCCACCAAAGTGGGCATTAACGCCTTACTTAGGCAACACTTTTTGATGTCAGTGGAAGTTTTGTCCAAAGACAGCAGCATCAGGCCCTGACTAAATCCCAATAGCAACAGTGATCTGCATACTCATTTATTGTCCACTAGCGATAAGTAGATATACAATTTGGGATATAGAAGGTATAAATATTGAGAGTAAGGAGTGTGGCCACAAAGCTAGCAGTTGGAATTGAGGAGTACAGGGTCATTGCCAGCAACATTCCACTTCCAAGACTGCCATCTAATGACACTGGGTAGTACATGGATGTCTTTTACACAGCTCTTCTGTTTCCGTAGGTAAGAAAGGACCAAAAAAATCAAGAGGCACACAATGGTTGTGCTCCTTTTAGTTCCTGAATCAGAAACTACCAATCACTACTTTAATCAAAAGTGGATCAGATCTTAATGGCAAAGAATGTGATATCAGGAAGGGTTCTTCTTGCTCTTCACCTTGTCCTCCAAGTTTTCAAAGTATTTCATTTTGTTTAGAAGTTTCTTGGCTTCTTGAAGATCATCTGAAATGAAACAAAGAACTGAAGTTTATATTAGGATGGAGTCTCGGTTTCATCTTAGAAATTTAATTTAAAACGTTTTGTTGTTGTAAAATGGCTATATCAATAACAAAACTAAACGTGAATTTAAAAAACCCAAATACCATGAGTACCACAGTAAAACCTATGTTGCAACAGTGGAGGCCTCAGTCAGGATTGGGGCCCCTTTGCAATAGGCACTCTACAAAACAAATGTAAGAAATGGGCTTGTCCCAAAAGCTTACAATCTAAGAAGACAAGGTGTACAAAGAATGGGGAAAAGACATGCAACAGTAGTGCCCTCCAATAACTCCTCTGAGAAGGACCAACAAAAAAAACCCAGTGAACCATTAGGCTACTAGGTATCAAACTGTAAGACTGGCATCAGAGGCGTGCTTGGACTATTTCCATTACAAACTATAACAGACGTAACAGGAGTAAGACCCAGCAGCCTGGCTAGGAATCACTGCTACAATGAAGACTGGCTCCATCCCACCACCATTGCCAGAAGGGCTCTGCCTGTAACAGGAGCTCTTTCAGCCAGCACTGGAGCATGCCTTCAGGCTCTGTATTTTTTTTAAGTGGTGTTAATAGTGGATCCTTTATGTTGAAGGATTTAATAATATGTTGTAGTTAAAGCAATTTCATCCACTGATGTGAGGCCAGCAGGGCAGGTAATCATTACAGTAGGAAACCCGTAGTAAGGTACCTATAGGCATATGTTTGTGGGAAGGAGGCTGGTTATGGGGGATTGTGGAATTGGAAATAGGGCAGCCTCTGGTCTAAGAGACCAAGAAAAATTATAATATTGAGAGAAGTGTTAAAATTGAGACAGGGTAGATGAAAGGGTTTTTACCCTGGGGTGAGAAAGGGCCCTGAGATAAGGAGGATCTTGAATTCTTCTTTCCACTGATTCCATGGTAGTGGGACTGGCAGAGTAGGGATGCAGAGACCACAGGAGTAGATGACTGAGTTCTGGCACAGCTTTTACCAGTTAGATGTTTGGTACACCTCTACCCCGATATAATGCAGTTTCACCTATAACGCGGTAAGATTTTTTGGCTCCCGAGGACAGCGTTATATTGAGGTAGAGATATATATCATGAACCAAGGATGATCAGTAGGGAGAAAGCATGGCAGTGCGGATTACATCCCACCTGAACTATAGGAAGTCTTCTCCAAACTGGATCTGACAGAGTGTGTGTCCATTTAGCATGCAAGCCCCAGATGGGATTAAGGTGGGACTGATTTTAGTGTACCACTGGCTCTGCTGCACTGTCAAGTCCCTTTGTAAGGGGACTACATGCCTCAGCCCATTGGCAATGGAAATACAGGGAAGGATTCAAATCACTGAGAGCAATCTTCATGTAGGTGATGAATCTTCAGAGGTGGTCAGGAGATCCTGGACATCATGAGAGCCATGGGCCTATTGAAGGTAGTTAACTGGATCAACTCACAGACGTGGCCACTCTTTGGACCGGATTTTTGGATTGGGACTGCAAGTTAAGCAATTGAATCTTAAACTAGCATCATGGACCAACAGTTACTGCCTATGGCTCATTTCTCCTGTCAGGGTAAGACACCTCTTTGAATGGTCTGCCTTTACTGATTAATGGAACTAGAAGGGTTCCAGAGAGTCTTGTTCCATTGTTAGGCCACAATCTTGATGATTAGGGAAGACAATACTTCTAGGTGCCCTTTTTGCTAGCTTCATTCTCACAGTCACCCTGATTTACTCAGGACCTGCAACAAATTAAGCAAAAGGAATACAGCTAGCATGCCAGTGGTGGAAATCTCATGCAGAGGCTCAACAGCTGTTTCATGAAGGTTTGGGAAGTAAAGAACAAGTTATTTTCTTCTACCAGAGTATCTGCAAAATCTTGGACAGCAGGTTTATTCCAGGTTATAGATAGTCTGCTAAATCAGGATAGTGAGTTCAGTAGCTGGTCTGACTCCCTCCTGTTGAGGAAATTTCTTGTTGTTTTACAGACAAGATTGATCAGATTAGCGCTGGGGTCTTGATCCCTGGTGTCAGAACAAGGTCTTGAGGGAACAAGGGCCTCATCTTGGCTGGTAGTTTCAGGCAATGATTCTCACTGAGGTACTGAAGATGGTGAGAGAGATTTGTCTTGCAGGCAGTGTTTTATAGATTCATAGATTCTAGGACTGGAAGGGACCTCGAGAGGTCATTGAGTCCAGTCCCCTGCCCGCATGGCAGGACCAAATACTGTCTAGACCATCCCTGATAGACATTTATCTAACCTACTCTTAAATATCTCCAGAGATGGAGATTCCACAACCTCCCTAGGCAATTTATTCCAGTGTTTAACCACCCTGACAGTTAGGAATTTTTTCCTAATGTCCAACCTAGACCTCCCTTTCTGCAGTTTAAGCCCATTGCTTCTTGTTCTATCCTTAGAGGCTAAGGTGAACAAGTTTTCTCCCTCCTCCTTATGACACCCTTTTAGATACCTGAAAACTGCTATCATGTCCCCTCTCAGTCTTCTCTTTTCCAAACTAAACAAACCCAATGCTTTCAACCTTCCTTCATAGGTCATGTTCTCAAGACCTTTAATCATTCTTGTTGCTCTTCTCTGGACCCTTTCCAATTTCTCTACATCTTTCTTGAAATGCGGTGCCCAGAACTGGACGCAATACTCCAGCTGAGGTCTAACCAGAGCAGAGTAGAGCAGAAGAATGACTTCTTGTGTCTTGCTCACAACACACTTGTTAATACATCCTAGAATCATGTTTGCTTTTTTTGCAACAGCATCACACTGTTGACTCATATTTAGCTTGTGGTCCACTATAACCCCTAGATCCCTTTCTGCCGTACTCCTTCCTAGACAGTCTCTTCCCATTCTGTATGTGTGAAACTGATTTTTTCTTCCTAAGTGGAACACTTTGCATTTGTCTTTGTTAAACTTCATCCTGTTTAACTCAGACCATTTCTCCAATTTGTCCAGATCATTTTGAATTATGACCCTGTCCTCCAAAGCAGTTGCAATCCCTCCCAGTTTGGTATCATCCGCAAACTTAATAGGCGTACTTTCTATGCCAATATCTAAGTCGTTAATGAAGATATTGAACAGAGCTGGTCCCAAAACAGACCCCTGCGGAACCCCACTCGTTATGCCTTTCCAGCAGGATTGGGAACCATTAATAACAACTCTCTGAGTATGGTTATCCAGCCAGTTATGCACCCACCTTATAGTAGCTCCATCTAAATTGTATTTGCCTAGTTTATCGAAAAGAATATCATGCGAGACCGTATCAAATGCCTTACTAAAGTCTAGGTATACCACATCCACAGCTTCTCCCTTATCCACAAGACTCGTTATCCTATCAAAGAAAGCTATCAGATTGGTTTGACATGATTTGTTCTTTACAAATCCATGCTGGCTGTTCCCTATCACCTTACCACCTTCCAAGTGTTTGCAGATGATTTCCTTAATTACTTGCTCCATTATCTTCCCTGGCACAGAAGTTAAACTAACTGGTCTGTAGTTTCCTGGGTTGTTTTTATTTCCCTTTTTATAGATGGGCACTATATTTGCCCTTTTCCAGTCTTCTGGAATCTCTCCCGCCTCCCATGATTTTCCAAAGATAATAGCTAGAGGCTCAGATACCTCCTCTATTAGCTCCTTGAGTATTCTAGGATGCATTTCATCAGGCCCTGGTGACTTGCAGGCATCTAACTTTTCTAAGTAATTTTTAACTTGTTCTTTTTTTATTTTATCTGCTAAACCTACCCCCTTCCCATTAGCATTCACTAGGTTAGGCATTCCTTCAGACTTCTCGGTGAAGACCGAAACAAAGAAGTCATTAAGCATCTCTGCCATTTCCAAGTTTCCTGTTACTGTTTCTCCCTCTTCACTAAGCAGTGGGCCTACCCTGTCTTTGGTCTTCCTCTTGCTTCTAATGTATTGATAAAAAGTCTTTTTGTTCCCCTTTATTCCCGTAGCTAGTTTGAGCTCATTTTGTGCCTTTGCCTTTCTAATCTTGCCCCTTTTGGATCCACATACTTCCTGGCAGGTGATGTGAGGCAAACCTGCAGCCAAACCAGGGCTACTCACTCAGCTGTCCCTCCCACAAAGCTGCACTGAGCCATCACTCAGGCATGTGGCAACACTGCAGTGAATTACCTTTCCCACAGAGCCTGCAGTTACTCAGCCATCCCTGAGCACAGCCTGGGTCAGATGACCTCCAGGCTCAGGTATTTCTCCAACCCCGCCAGAGCTACAAATCACTCTGTGCAACAGCATTACCCAGTTTGGAACACTTCTGCTGCTTCACAGTGTATCAGACTCTCTAGACTCCCAGCCTGCTCCTGACCAGTTCTTACCCTGCCTCCTGGCCCCCTCCTACCCGAGTCTGAACCATCCGGCTTTGACCTCCGTCATATACCGGGACTCCGGCTACAGACCTGATTGACTTATCTACAGACACGGATTCCTGTTCTGACAATGGCTGTCCCCAGATCTCAGTTCCACTAGTACCCTTGGCCCAGTGCCAACCCTACATCCAGCTTTGTCCTCTGCTCCAACCACTAGGCCTGACTACCGGGAAGCAGCATCTGACAGGTGGAGGCCAGTGGGGAAACAGTGGGTCCCTTGTTTGCCTCTCTGTGAGAGCAGGGAGCATCCTGCTTAGAAGGGAGCATTAGTGCACACTGCTCAGAAAGTCATCAATTGACACTGACAATCTAATTAATTATTGACCTGTATTCCATGTTGGATAAGATTATGGAGAAGGCTGTGGCGAGACATAGCTCACTATCTAGAATGCTTTTGATCTTTTCGGCACTTCGCAATGCGAGCACAGACCTGGCCTTGGCAGAGACTGCCGTGGTTGATTATCTTCTCCAGGAGATGGATGAATATCAGGTGTTCATGCTGGTGGTATTCGATCTGTCAGCTGCCTATGATACCATTAATCATAAGACCCTAGCAGGAGTGGAGAAGGCTGCTCTTCAGGGACTTTGTTCTTTTTTCTTGGAGAGATCTCACTGGCATTTTGCTGTGGCAAGTTCGCAATTGCTCCTCTTCCCAAACGGCTGTTAATTGTGGGGTCCCAAAGAGTACCATTTTGTCACCCTGCTAGCCTTCAAGGTACACATAGGGCTGTTAGGAGAGTTAGCCAGGAGGCATGGGATGCAACATTGTCAGTATTCTCTCATTTGACTCAGAGAACGTAGTTCCGTGCCATAGCCAGCGTCTAAAATTGGGGTGGATGAGAGTAAGATGGCCGAGACTTAACCCAGACAATACTGACATGATGACAGTGAGCTTAAGGAAAAGAGGTGGTGAGGACAGTGGAGGTAATTTCAGTCCTTTTCACTGAAGGACAATGGATATTAGGGTTTGCATCTTACATGGAGATGCATCATAAAACTATTCAGAGACAAGCTGGTGCAAAACACAGCAGCCTGCTCACTGAGCAGGTCATCTTGCTAGAAGCTTGTTATCAGTACTCTGGGCTCTGTACTGGCTTGCCCATTGGTCTCTGGAAGTTTTTTTATTTTTAAAGGCAGTGAATGATACTTGAATTCTGTAGTTCACTAAATACTTTATACCAAAGCATGCTGTTTTTAGCACTCATTACTCTGACATTATAGCAGTAAAACCATTCAAGAAGTAACTGATTGAGATCACTACCTCTTTCAAAAGCTTTTCTCACATCCTTGGTCAATTCTTCTTGTTTAACTGTAAAAAACAAAAAATACACTGTCTTATTCAAAGCTGTATATACGCTCACTGAGCACTTTCAATAACATTGCATTATGACTTCATGCTGGGAAACAGATATGCTGCCAGCACCTTTGCAATAACGTTGTTGCTAACTGTTTTGTTCTGTCACTAGCTATTAAACTGTTTAGCACCAAATCAAGCAAGTGAATTTTAGTGTAAATAGGGAGATTAATGTCATCACAAACTTTAAGGGCTAGTAGCTTGGTTAAAAGTTCAGCTTGCACTCTGAATTTTATTTTACCCTTTCACAATACTGACTATTGCTATTATTTCTTGCAGCCAGGATCATTAACCCTGCAGAATGGAAGTGTGAAAATACTTCATCATTGAACTGATGGTTGGCCACTACCTAGAACACAGTCATGGAGAAAGTAGGCAGGATGAGAGGACATGCTTACAGCACGCTCCCAAATACACAGTTACCATATATTAAAAACTTTGTGGGTGAAAGTGTAAGTCTCTTCAAACCAAATACTTTGCTACATTTTCTCCATATTAACATGCTTTACCATAAAGTGATTTAAAACGTTCTTTGAAACTGGTGACAGTGTTGTTATAGTATATATGTTCTCTTGTCATGGTGACTGGCATTAATATTTAGAGAAAAGTTTCCTGAGTGACTCAGGTCCCTCTGAGCAGAGCACCTTTAACAGCTCCCTACTATGTGCCATATCATGCTAGACTATCCTCTCCTTTGTTCAGTAGATGAGACTTGCTGTACTCAAACTCTACATCTTCATTTCATCAGATTGCACTGGTGTCTCCTGTGGACAGCTGAAGTTCAGACTGTTCATCACTATGTAACCTTCCAATTTATTAACTATCCTTCTTCTGAACCATCATCCACCTAGTACTTCTCCACAGTTGACAAGCCCTCAAACTTTCAATGCTTGCTGGAGTTCAGTGAAAGTCTCTCTGTCACAGAGTGATAGATTGTCAAGCAAGAAAAGACTCCCAAGATTTTCCTGTTTGAGCTCTTGCATCACACAGCAGTGCTTCCCACACCATTTTCCTAAATGTCTTCTCTAAGCTCTCCTTGGGCTTCTGTGTTGCTCCACTATCTCTTTGGAGCCAAGAATTACTTCCCTCATCAGTCTTAACACTTTCTCAATCTCCACGCTGAATACTTCCTTCACACTAACCCGTTACTCTTTATTCTGACAACTTCAAACACTGAATAATATATTTCTCTTTATAGGCAACATGACCTAAAACACGTTTAAACCATTATTCAAAAATCTATATGCATATTTATTTGTTGCCAAACTAGGTAGAAGCTCGCTAAATAGATTATAACAGGCACTAGATACATTTCCTACTAGTAAAATTTTGTTCATGATATTCCATGTATGGAATTTTGCTGTAAAAAGCAAAATTCTGTTAATAACATTAACAGAAAAAATATTTGCTTTGAAAAGGTAGCTGTTATAACAAGCTGTGACCACACCTGCATCGGACTAGCAAAGCTGAACTAATAAAGTCCTTTTTAGATTGCTTATAAAAAGGAACCCTATTCCTCGGGGCACCATGGCAAGCAGTGTCAGTTATCTTATTTGCAGTCTGGGTGGAGAAAATGCAAGTAGTTTTGCAGCTCAATCTACCAGCACAAACCGGTATCCAGACGCCCATGACAATCGCTAGTACACTATGTATACATATTCATCTGGGACAGGAGAACTAAGAGGTCAATTAAAAAAAATAGAGAAGAGGTAATGATATTTACGTTCTCTGTAGACTAAAACAATAGGAAAATTGCTTCTTAAAAAATAAAAAAAATCTATCCAGTAGTTTAAGAGAAAATTGGTACAATGAAAGGACAAAAGAGAAATTGGAGATTAGGCACCAGACACTATGTCAGTCAAACCGATATACTGCTCCTCTTTCTTTTTCATAAAAAAAGAGGAACCCGAAAGGAGTCCTATTTCATAGATACCAGGGGAGCAGTCACGCAATGCTGAATGTATGTAAGCAGAATTCTTAAGGCAGATAAAGTATGAAGTCCACATACATGTGTGACAAAGTGGGGGGTTTTCTTGTTTTCTGTGGAGTTTCGTGACAATAGAAACCTTCAGTGGAAATGAAGGCAGAACTTGGTAATGTGATATTGTGCAAGTCTGCTGAGGCCAAGTTAGATTTCTGTTAGAAATTTAATCTTTACTGCTAAATCTTTCTGTAGAAGGCCATTGCTGTTGTGCCAACCTAAATGTTGCTATAGTCTGGGGTTGAGGGGGAAGGAACACACTTCTAAAAGCAAGCTTGAGTTGACTGTCTGTTTTGCTGGGTTTTAAACTTGTTTGATGCCCTCTTGTGTTTACAGCTTTTGCAGGCCTCAGTGGGTTTGGACACTGCAGCTTAACATAAAAAGATAAATACAGATCAGGTAAGGGGACAAGTGAAAAGCTATAGGGGTAAGTGTTAGATTAAGAACACAGAGGTGTACAAATGTGCAGGGGATGCAAAATAGAAGGACAGAATGATAGCAGATCTAAAGCAATCAAAATAAAAACAAGGACATGGACTAATGTTTGTCCTATTCAACATAATGATGAAAAACATAGGAAAATGTGGAAAAGTTATTTTCTTAACTTCCTCCTGTCACAGAGCTGGCCCTTTAAGGGGAGTTACAGACCAGCCTACCTGTGACAGAGAGAATGAGCCAACTCAAACCCATCTGGAACCAACTAAATCCCTTGGTGACTGACTGGCTGTTTATTAATAAACTTGATAAAGGGTTCCTAGACATAGCATCTTCCAGGAGAGCTCTCTAGAACAAGGAGCCTGGAAGGTGTGCTTCTAGAAACAGAAACCGCAGGACAGAAGCCCAGGGGCTGCAGGTGGCTGGAGAAAAGGGGCTGCAGGTAAGTGCTGCAGAAGATTAAGGTAGAGACTGAACTGGACTCAGAGAACTACAGGGCCAAAGGAGAGGGCCTGTGCACTCTTGGGCCCAAGTGGAGAGATCGCAGGCTAGACTAAGAAATACAGGCCCCACAGGGGAGGGCTGTGCAAACCCTGCTATCAAAGGGAGGGACTTATTTCAAGTTTATTTAGATTTAATAAATTAGAACCTTAACAGGGGAATTTTGCTTTAGACCCTTTTGAACTGTGTGGTGTTCTTAGGGGGCCCTGGGCAGGGAGCATCTACAGCGCCATGCTCAGGCAGCAGGAGGTGCTATGGGACAGCCCCCCCCCCCCGCCCCAATTACATCACCTTAATTAGAGAGACTAGCCTTTTTCACATTATAGAAAAATATAGCATTGTAACTTATTTCTGTACATTAGACAAGTCTAGACTTCACCTTCAATGAAACTTTCAATCTCTTCTATTTTAGCCTCATTATTAGGTTCTGCCAGTGTCTCATTGAGTTCCATGATTTCCTTGAGGAACTCCACATCTATGTCACTGTCTGTCCCTTTTGCCAGTTCCACTCCATTCAGCTCCAGCTGGTGAAGAAGAAAACAATGGGCTCACAATATCTGCTGCTGCCAGATCTGTATTTCAATCCCAACCACTTTCCAAAATATTAAGTCACTAAGAGTTTATCTACATGTGGCGTTCATCAGGAAAAACTCCCTGTGTAGACAAGCTCCAAAATTAGCAGTTGGCTAATGCACAAATGGGCACTGGGAGTTGTTAGGGGCAAGGCTTAAAGTAAGTATAGGAGGTACATCTTTGCTCAGAGATAATTAATCTGTTGGATGGGCGACAGACTATTAGTCCATGTCTACACTGCCACTTATGGCAGCAAAATTTATGTTGCTCAGGGGTATAAAAAACCCCACCCCAGAATGACATAAATGTTGCCAGCATAAGTGGTAGTGTGCACAGCAATATGTCAGTTGGAGAGCTTCTCCCGCCAACGTAGCTACTGCTGCTCATTGGGGATGGTTTAAATATGTTGACAGGAGAGCTCTCTTCCGTCGGCTTAGACCAGCCACATGAGAGATCTTACAGTGATGCAGCTGCATTGGTATAGCTATGCTGCTGCAAGGTCTCTAGTGTAGACATAGCCTTAGTGAGATTACAGTGATAAAACTAATAAAAGAAAAAAGTTATTCCATAGTCAAGATGCTAACAGGGGGAGGGATAGCTCAATGGTTTGAGCATTGGCCTGCTAAACCCAGGATTAGGAGTTCAATCCTTGAGGGGGCCATTTAGGGATCTGGGGCAAAAATCTGTCTGGGGATTCGTCCTGCTTTGAGCAGAGGGTTGGACTAGATGACCTCCTGAGGTCCCTTCTAACCCTGGTATTCTATTATTCTAGGTGGGACAGAGGAGCTGTTTGGCCTCCTTTAGTCTCAAAGATTCCTGTTTTCTCTTGTGAAAGCACATGAATGGTGGGAAAGCAGTGGAGGAGGTACACAAGATTTGGTTCTTTATACTGTAACAAACTACAGTCATCTCTGCATGGTTATGGTGTGATATTGCAGTACATATTAGACACCTTACTAGGTACAATCCACGTCTCAAGGGACTTAGAAGGGTTTGGTAGGCTCTGTTAACCAAGGAAGAGTGTTGTTCAGAAAAGTCCCGCTCTTTCTGTCAACAGAAGATCCAGAAATATTTTTATTACACAGAATTGCCATATTTACAATAAAAGCCAAATCATGCCATATTTAATCAGCAGTAAAGAAATAAAATTACTATATGAACAGTACACGTCAGTGCAATCTTTAATTGTAATAAAATATCTACCAAAACATTTAAGGAAGCCAAAAGAATTAAACTGTTATGGACCTAGATAAGAACGCTGGGTACATTAGAAATACCCAGTGAATACCAGCACTTTACTGGTTCAAAATCTGTTACCTCTGTGATCAAAGTTTAATTTTTTTCTTTATTTTTAAATGCAGCACTTCAATTGCTTTTCTTCAGCGAGACCAGCAGTTCTCAACCAGGTGTCTGGGGCTCTCTGGGGGACTGCGAGGTTTCAAGGGGTCTGCCAAGCAGGGCCAGCATTAGACTCACTCGGGCCCAGGGCAGAACGCTGAAACATTAGACTCATGGGGGCCCCTGTGGCGTGGGGCCCTAGGCAGTTGCCCTGCTTGCTACCCTCTAGCACTGGCCCTGGCTTTTATATGCAGAAAAGCAGTTGTTGTGGCACAGGTGGGCTGCAGAGTTTTTATAACATGTTGGGGTGGCCTCAGGGAAAAAATGGTTGAGAACCCCTGAGCTAGACCAACTTGTAATTTGACCTCTTAAATCTCACACTAAGCAGGGCTGAGCATAGTCTGTATTTGCAGGAGATGCTTCCAAACAACCAAGCCAAAGTTTTCCAAAAAAGGGACCCAAACTTAAAAATCATAACTTGGGACTCCCAGGGTATGTCTACGTACTCTGTGGCAGTGAGCTTCCCAGCCCTGGTTCACACTTGGATCAGCAGGGCTTGAACTGGTGCTCTAAAAATAGCTGTGTGGACAGTGCTTTGAAGTTGTGGCTCAAGTGCTGAAGCTAGCGAGCGGGGTAGGCTTCAGAGCCTGAGCTTCAGCCTGAACCACAACTTCAAAGTGGTGACTATACAGACGTTTTTAGAGCGCTAACCTGAATCTGTCAACCCAGGCTGGGAGGCTTACTGCTGTGGACTGTGTAAACATACTCCTGGGGCCTCATTTTCAAAGTGAAGTATGTATTCTCACCACCTTTGAAAATCTGGCCCCTGGAATCTTAGACATCCAAAAATGGAGAGAATCAATTAATGGAAGTGTTTTGAAAATTTGGACCTTAGGTTCCAGTGGCAGGGTGGACCCAAAAGAAACACTATTTCAGAGGAAGAGGGGAAGATTACATAATGACATTGATTCACCATAATAAGTACACTTTACATCCTCCATACATCACTGATGTCCAGTGCTTGAGGCTTACAAGTGAGAGAATGGGTGCAGACAGCCGGGGGGCGGGGTGGCAGGGTGAAGGGCTTTCTCCTCTTCCCCAAATTTTAGGGATTGCATTAATAAATGAAATTGAGTTTGGAATAGAATCTTGTTTATCTCACTTTATTAGAAGTGGACAAATTCAGTTATGGAAAAAAGTACTTTTTAAAGTCACATTCGACAGCAACTTTTAAAAAAACTTTAGCCCCTCCAAATAATAATAAATAATAATAATAATAATAATAATAAAAAAAGCTCTCTCTCTACCTCAAGTGAAAATCATTCCATTTTGTAGACAGAGAACTTGCAGTGCAAACTAGGAATGTATATGAAGCTTCTGAGCTAGTCAGGGGCAGTGATTAGAGAACCCTGGGTTCTACCTCCCACCCCTGTACTCAGTCCATGCAAATACACAGATTTGGGAGCTAGTTCCCAAATAAATGCACTTGTTGAGCTGCCAATGAGTTGTCACCATACCCCTTGCCTGGGTGACTTTCACTGGAAAAAGAGACAACTCTCCTACACCAAGGCCTATGCCTGGAGGCCTAATGGCCAGTCTTCA